GCGCAATTCGCGAAGCTCAGCTCTTCCTATAGTATAATTACCAGGTTTCACATCACGGTGTAAGTACCCGATGTTATGAAGATCTGAAAAACGCAGCAAACAGAAACTCTTTGACAGCGTCTCAGTTGCACAGTTGTCTCTACCTTCAAGTGCTTCCAAGCACTGAATACCGCATGAGATTGCACACCCAATTGTCATGTGTCCACCTGGTCCACCTTTATTCAAGTCTTGCAGTGATTTACCGACAAGTGTCATAACGACCTAAAACGCCTGTGCGGTGAAAAAAGCACTTTTAAGACTTGCTACCTCTTTTTCCCTTACGTAGTTGAAATTCCCATATCTTCCTTTGTCTTCGATTCTGCAGAAATGCCGCGACCCCCGTTTTGTCAACTCGGTCAGCACATAAACTTCCATTTTCAATACCTATGGAGCACAGATTGGAGATTGTTTATATCCAAAGTAATAGCTAATGATAATTACGCAAAACTCTTGTTTCGTTATGTCTTGCAAGCAACACGCAGGCGCAGCCCATAAGACTTTATACTAAACATCCCCCTGGGAAGGAAAGTTATCAGCGCCCACTTTGGAAATTGAAGTGGTCATATTTGTTAGGATGAACTTTAGCGGGAAGGGGTAACCCTATAGCAACAACTCGGACTCTAAGTAGAAGCTCTGCTGAGTCAAATAAGTAGTCGCAGCGAATCTGATGATATAATGACGATTGGAACTCAAATTTGCACCAATTGGTTCACAAACCCCTTTGTGAGCCCTTACCTTTCTCGCTTAGGGTCATACTCCGTCATAACCGTTCCTCTACGCACCAAGAATTTTGATAAACTCTCTACCCCTCTCGATGAGGATGTTCATGCATAAGGTCCTTGATCGGTATGGGACTGATAGATCATAGAAGTGTAAGTGATAAGTAAGCTCCTGAGAATATTTAGTATATACCTAGCGCGACACGAATTAGCCGCGATATGGTTTATTCAACAGTTTTTGCTGAAACTTCTCTTGCTTATCGGGCTTGATCGCCTAATCTCTAGTTTCAAACTTTCAGAAAACATTACCCTAAGAAAATGTTGCTCTTCCTATATTATAAATATCAGTTGTTAAGAAGTTGTATTAGTTGTTTCACGCAGTTGCGCAAGTTATACTCTGCCTTTCCGCGACGCAACTAAGTGGACAACCGCCAT